TCAGCGTTGATGTGAGGCGCTAAGGACTGGGTACTTATATCAAGACATAATTCTCCTTAGAGGAACAAAACTAGCCAAGATCCTCTGATGATTTTCTTTCTTAGTGGTGTCAGCACATAGGATGGATTAAGTAAAAGATAGAGAAGAAACCTGTGACTTTTAGTCATATGTAAAACAGTCCAAAAGATTTGTCCAAGATTCAAAAAACGAGCAGACATCTGCAGACTGCATTTTTTCTGCATGATTTCTTTTTAGGGTTTCCCAATTTTATACAGTAGTGTAAGAAGTTTGGATATAGGATTGCAGGTCACTATTTCAATCATGTTAAATGCCTATTGATTTTTTATCTGTGGTCAGAAATAATCTTAAAAAGCTCAGACCATTTATAACATATACTGTAAATAAAATTTTTATTTAGGATTTTGTATAAGAAAAAGTTTTAAAATACCTCTCTCTCTCAGTTCTATCCTTTTCAGAGAAAAATTTTAATAAAAATAGAAAATTAGAAAAAACAAATTGTTGGGGTTTATTTAATCAAATATAAAATGGAGACTGTGAAAGTTGTTGCTTTGCTGACATCTCTGAAATTTAGATAATAAAGAATGGGTCCAAGTGGTGTAAGCAAAAAAGTATCTTTGGACTCAGAGACTTAAGAGGATAAATATTTTAGTTCTTAATAGTACTGAATTGCAGGGAGATGGTTCTCCAGAAAGAGCTATATGTAGTGTACTCTAGGGAACACGTTAGGCTCAGAAGCACACTGAAGTCCGTCAGAAGGAAATAACTGAGTGAAAGATGAGCTAAATCAGGGCCAAAGCAGACAGCTGAGAGGTTTCTATAAGCCATGTTTCTGTAAAGGCTGGCAGCCCACTCTAGAATATATAGAAAAGCAATAAAGGGTATTGCTTTTCCTCCTTTTTCTTCTACAGCACATGGAAGGGTGATGCTCTGCAAGGAAGTGATAAACATCAGACCCTATTTGTTCTATTTGTTTTGGCTTCTACATTGCATTCTTTCAACACAGGACACTAATAACACCCTGAAAGAAGGGACATGGCTCCTGTCTTACAAGCAATTTGAACTTGTAGCATGGTGAGGGAAGAAAAGTTTTCAGGGTCTATAAGTCTAGAGAAAAGGTAGAATAACCTACTAAAAAACTAATTGTAAAGCAGGCAGATATTCAAACTCGCAGTGCAGTGAAAAAACTCTTTCTAGAAACCAGAGATGCATACAATTTGTTGTAATTCAGAGTAGCCCTGGAAGCATAGGATAGCAAGGAGAAATCGTTCATAGACATATTTTACTTTTATTCTGTCTTAGTGTTGAATGAATGAGATGGCTCTAATTATAAGGAGAATAGTTTAAGCAACCAAGTACTTCTTCCATACAATGCCTATTTGCTTTGTCACCCTCAGCGTTAAATGCTCTTGTGCATGTCCTGAGTCCAAGTTCAAAAAGAGACCAGAGAACTTTAAAGGAAAAATCGCAGAGTGTTATCAACTACAGTCACGAAAATGGCTTAGGAAATGCTTTGGAGGTTGTCAAGCACAAGGAGAAATTAAAAATAAGAAAAATCACTCTGTACCTGCCCTGTCTTCACATCCTTTCTACTCTGAAGAAGATACTGAACTGGAGGTACTTTTGCTGTGAATCTTGCACAGCTGTCTTTACATAGGCCTATGTATTTGTATCAGTCATTCTTGCAGAATGCTTGGATGAAGAACATTACATATCTGAGCAATACACTGAAATTTTTCAGTCATGCCATAGTACAAACTGAAGTGTAGACCAGCTTTCCTACAGTGGTTAAAGTTACTCAGGTTAAAATTTAAAGAACTTGCCAGAATTTAAATGCCTAAAGGCTAATCACAATTATTGGTAGTGCTAAGCACAACCTTGACAACCTCATACAATGATTTTAACAATGTCCTGACCTAGGTTATAGGTGGCATTTGCTCTTCAGTAGGAAGTAGGAAACTCAGAAAACAGACATTCAAATCTTCTTTGGTTACCCAGCATCTTTTTCTTAGGCAAGCTTGCTGTCTAAAAATTGGGACCTTCTTTTCTTGTTCTTAATCTAATAGCTTAAATATCTCTTTTATATTCTGCTTTTCATGTTTATGTATCTCCTAAGAGAAGTTAGCTGCTTTAACTTTACAGAAAGACACAACATTACTCATAATAAAATATAGCAAAATTGCAGAAAAGTTATGAGAAACGCTACAAAAATTAAAATGCTGTATGATACTTTTGCTATCCACTTTTAGTTCTACTTCTGGGAAGACTAAACCTAATCTGACTTCTAAAGCATGTAGTCCTGTACTTAAGAGTATTAAATTTCAAGATGTAATCTCTACTACTATCTGTAATCAGACTAGTAATTTTTCATCACATTTAATTCTCATCCACCCCAAGACAGAGGCTCTCCTTGAATTACGTTGATTTACCATTGAAGTGGTAAGTACTACATAGCATAGCAGAATATAAAATTTGTTTTTTCATCTGCTACTTAGTGCATTTAACAAGTAAATCTATTGAGCAATAACCATTCTAATAGCAACATTGATAAAACAAGCCAAGACAATAATTTCCTACTCCATTTCCTCCACTTCTTTTGAAATTTGTGTGTTGGCAGCAGAAAATAAATTACTATCTCCTTTTTTTAAGCCACAGATCATCTCCAATTTTAGAAGCTAATACCTAGTTAAGGAAAACAGCACACAAGCCTGAGCCAAACCCAGTATAAAAAGCTCAGAACAACCTCACTTATTGCCACCCTTAAGGTCAAATATTAATCCATTATACCTATGTAAATACTATGTATTATTTTCCCCTCATTGTTGGGGTCCATTTTCAAAGTCTCTGCCATTTCAAACAAATGTATAGAAGAACACGATATAAAGTATTGTGGACAATGCCTTTCATTTAAATAAGTGGGCATTAGCTGCATAAAAGTCCAGGCATATGCTTACCTTCAGATAATACTTCAACCCTACTAGATTTAACAAAATCTCTTCTATAGGTAATATAAATACATCTATTGTGATGAGGCTTTGTTATTGCTATTAGCTAAACCAGCTCTGGGTCTCATGTAAATCCAGTGCAGCAGGACTGGATTTGGCTTATTAATATAACATCTGGAAAAAGTGAACATTTGGTAAACTAATAAAAAAAATCTAATCATTAGAAGACATAAAATTTGATTGAAAAAACCACCTTACATGTTAAATAGACTCCACTTCATCAGTTTTGCTTTCTACTTCTGTTTTTCATCCTTAATAAGGATCACTTGTAGGTCTTCACTTTTAAAAAAAGAGGGAAAAAAAAGAAAAAAAACCCAACCAAACAAACAAAAAAACCCAAAACCAAACCATAAATCAAACATCTTACTAATGTAGCTCAGTCAGAGGTTGGGTTAATTTTGGTGAGATGTTCATACGATTCCCCTCTCCCTGAAACTTCTTAAAATCACTACCTGTTCAAAACATTTGATACCAGTGGCAGACAGCTTTTTAAAACTAATTTCCAAATCCCATCTTATTACTGTAGAACCAGGAGGGCTTCCAGAGAGGCTTTCTTCTGGACAGGCCTTGTGACACTGGTGACCAGTGGCCCAGAAAGTTGGTATTCAGCACAGGTACCCATAGGATACAGACAGATTACTCTATCAATTCGTGACTACATTAATAAGAGAGTTACCGCTTTTGCCTCAAAGCAAGCGAAAGCCTCTTCAACAACACACCATTCTCAAAATTTCCACAAGCCAAGTGCAAGATGGCAGGAGCCGCAAATTCCTGCACTACAAGGCTAGAAATGATAGTTACAACCTAATTCCCCACTCCCCAAAAGAGAAAAGCCGCGGTACTCTCGATGCTTCGTCCTCTGAAACTCAGACACCGAGGAACAGGCACCACTTCGCGGAGGGTGGGGCGGTACGACGAGCATGCAGAGAACAGAGCGGGTGTGGCCTCTTCCGTCCCAGCCCCCAATGGGTCTATTTAAAGAGAATCAGAATCGCTCCGGTCTGCTTTTATCGACGCAGGGAGGGGAGCTTCGCCACTAGAGAAAGCCGAGTGTCCGCGCATAGTTTTCTCGAAGAAGTTCGTAGTGGTTTTATTTTAAAACCCTTATTTTTTAAGCGTGTGTTCGCAGCCTCGGCTCCAGTGAGTGATGGTGAGTGAGCGCGGAAGGGGAGCTATGGTGGGGCGGTGGGACTGGGATGATGGGGGGCATTTGAGCCCCGAGCCACCGGGCGGGCTTCTGCTGGGTACTGTAGTGCCTTGGGTTGGGGGGGGGGGACGACCCCAGCGGGCCGCGGAGCCGAGAACGGAGTAGTAACTTCTTGGGGTTGTTATTGGGGTGAGAAACGGGAATGAATGCCCACAAGCTGGACTAGTGTCGTCTCCTAACGCGGTGACGAGGCTGAACTCCTGAGGGCTAGTCGCATTTTAACTGTCTTGAAGGTTTTAAAACCTTACGAGGTGAGCGGTTAAGGTGAAGGGGGGAATACCGCAATTTAAAGGCTGGGGGCTTCTGCAGGGGAATGTGCGGTTCGTAGCCCTTAGCGTTATGGTCTGAGAAAGGCTTGGCGACGGAAGACGCTTCACACCCATGAGCGGCCATCTTGTGATACCACATGTTAGCATGGCGCGGGCCCGCCCGGCCGAGCAGGCTCCCCTCCGCCTGTCCGTCGCGGTGTTCCCGCCGCGCGGAGGGTCCGGCAGGAACCCTTGTCGGGGGTCTGCGAACGGCTTCCATTGCCCTGAGCGCCAAACCTTCCTGCCCGCGCCCCGTCGGCGCTGGGCAGCCGAGGTGTGAGGACGCAAAATGGCGGCCGTCGGCAGCGGCACCAGGAACGGGGCCGCACGAGCGGCGCCTCGCTCGCCCGACGTTCCACGGGCCGGCGTCCCCTGTCCGCCAGAGCCAAGGCTCGGTGTCGCCCGGAGTGCTGCGGGTGCCGTGCGGGCTGCGGGGCTGCGGGATCCTCGGCTCGCACCGACATGCTGCTTGTCGTTTGTTCTTTCCATTTGAGAAACGCGGTTTGCGAGTGTAGAGGTGACGCTTCAAACACTGTACGAGTAAAGTGGTGGGGCTTTTAGTTCTAGGTTTTTTTAATTATTATTTTATACAGGATAAGTTACGCCTCCGAAGTGCCCAGCGTGCGCTCAGTGCCCAGCGGGACGACTGCGGTGCCAGCCGTGCTCTTCCCTCAGGCACCCGCGCTCTCACGGAGACTGCGCTCGGCGTCCGCGCAGCGAGACGTGCCTCACGGGGTTTAAATGTTTCAATTAAAAACAAAAAACAACAAAAAATTAATTATTACTTTAAACAAAATGTACTGAGGACAGGGGGAAGCCTGAGAAATCGCGGGCTTGTGTGGCCAAAAAGTGAAGGTTTTCCTCTCCTGGACGAGCATTAAACTGATTGTAATACACTTGGGTGGGTATGTAGGTACTTCCTCCACCTGGTCAACGATCGTCCACCTTTTTTCCACCTTTTCTTTGGCTAAAACTCTATAATTAGTCTCCCGACTACTGGAAGGAGGACCTTATTCTAGTTTCTTCTCACCGATTTAAACTTCCTGCTTGCAGGAATAATAGAGAGCAAACGGATTAATTTTATCTTTTGATAAGAGAATAAAAAACCCGCTAATTCTGATAAGTTGAAAAATTGAATAAACCCTAATATTCCTGATATCTGGAAATCTGATTTCAAAGCTACTTCATGAGATAAGAAAAATCAGACTTCTTTTGGAGTAACTTTAAAGGGGTGAGTCACTAAAGCTGATGCTGTAGTTTCACTATAGCCATTGGCAGGATGTGATTCAGGCTTTGTTCAGTGATTTAACAACAGTCTCAGGTCTTTGGACATGGTGTATGTAGAACAGTCATTTATCTAGTGCTGTGTTGGTAAGGTTATTTAGGTTTAGAGAAGACACTATTTTTTATTTTTTTTTTTGAATTTGCGAAGGTTTTCCATCATAGTACTGAAGACTTCGGAAGGAGATTTTCTTTGTTTGTTTGGTTTTTTTGTTGTTGTTGTTTTTGTTGGGTTTTTTTGTTTTGTTTTTTTTTTTCTAGGAGACTTTCACCACTGTGCATTTTTCATCTCCTTTTCAAGTTCTAGGAAATATGTGTATTAATAAATCTTACTTTTGATGTTGCCCTGCTTGCCGGAATGCCTAAGTAGTCTGTTTGTTCTTTCTTTCAGGTAATGTAAGAGTGTTAAATAAGTTAATTTTCTTTGAAAATTCTGCATCATTAGTGTGAGACATGGCAGCTAAGGCCATGTGTGACAGATGTACCAGCAGTGTCGGTGGTTACCAGCTTTTGCTCTCTGCGGGGAGAGCCTTTTCCTGTTTTAGGCTTCCAGAGAGCTTGCACAACAAAGTGAACACCATTTCTAGCTTGGTTCGCTGAAACATCCAGAAAAAAAGAAGTAGAAGTAACAGTTAGGTCAGCTTGAGGGTGCTGTGGAGTCGCTATCTCCGGTTCAATTCTAATGCCCTTTAGCTGTGTATGCAGCCAAACAAAACAGAATACCAAGTAGGTGAAAAACTGCTCACTTCATGTTAATCTTTCTGCCAGATTTTGTAGAGCCAGTTTTATTTGAACTGATAAGTGCTAGAACTTCTTGTGCAAGAGTAGATGAAGCAGGAGAGATGGAAGCAAATCCTGACGGTAGCAACACTGGTCACAAAGCTTGATACAGTCTATTTAAAGTAGTCTAGACTAGGTCTAGATTTAAATTTTAAAAACTTCTTGGAATAATTACTTCTGTTTTTTTCCCCAGTGAATGGTCTGCTTGTGCTACTGAAATTCCTTGTCCTCTGCTATATCTGTAGGAAGGTGCAGGCATTCTGGTGTCTTAAAGTGTAACCTAGTTGACTAAAATAAGTATTTATGTTTAAATTTTTTAGGCAGCACATGTGGAGACGCAGCATTCGAGTGCCTCGGAGGGCGGTTCCTATTCGGCAACAGTCAGTCAGGGCTATGTTTTACCAGAAGGAAAAATCATGCCAAACACAGTCTTCGTTGGTGGAATTGACATAAGGGTATATACACGCTTCTAATTCTTTAAAATGGGTGTAGAGTATGACAATGAAAAATAAGTGGGAATTTTGTTCCTGTTTTGGTGTGGATTTTTTTTTTACTTGTTTGTGGTGATGGGATTCTTTCTTCCCCCCCCCCCCCCCCCGCCGTCGTGCTCATTTGCCAGTCTTGAAGATATTTAAATGTCATGGAGAATTCTGGATCAGTCTTCCAAACTAACCTTTAGTTCTTATGGTAGTGGAAAATTGGTTTTAAAATGGTACTGTCTGCTTTAAATCAGTTGTAAGCAGTTTAATGTGTTTCAAGATGTTTAAGACCTTGTTTTCTTTTAGATGAACGAAGCAGAAATTCGGAGTGTCTTTGAACAATATGGTACTGTGAAGGAGGTGAAGGTCATTACTGACAGAACTGGTGTTTCGAAGGGGTGAGTAGAATACGAGAAGTTGTTTTAATTTCCTGCTTATGTGGACAGCATTCTGTAATAGGTGATCTGAACAGATACTTTGCAATACACCTGACGTGCTTAAGCCTTAGTTCTAGCTGCAGTTTTCTGTTGTGGTGAGTTGACTGTGAAACCAGTAAATCTGTACTGCCCCCAACTCAATCTGTATAATCTTAAAAAGAAAAGCATGGATTTTCTGACTTCGGTCTCTCTGTTCAGGGAAGAGAAGCTCACTGTCACTTAACCATTAGAAAAAAAATTTAACTTGTGTGATGCTTACACAGCCAATTCTTTTGTAGGACTCTTCTGCTGGCAAGAATAGTTAAAAATCTAGGGGCAGTTCAGGATGATTAAGAGAATTAAGATGGTTTATTCAGGGCAGGAGGTCTGCCTTCTGACGCTTGGGAATAAGTTCTAGAGTAAAACAGCCGAAACTTCTTTGGGTGAAGAGTGAAACTAAGTATGTGAACAAAGTTGTAACAAGGGAAATCCCCTTTGAATATATAGAAAAGTTCTGGAATACTATGTTGAAAACCTTAAATTGAAAGATGAAGAGCCCCTTACCCTGTTGAGTTCTGGGGAAGCCATCCTGGTTTTGAGGTTATCTCTCCTTATGTGAAGGGGAGACCATACCCTTTTGAGGTTTCTTCCAGCCCAGTTTTTTTTAGATTCTATGCTTAGATCCTAGAATGTCACATCTTTTTCTTCAGCATGTGTAGCAATGGAAGAAAAAGAGGAATAAAATTCATTTTCTCGTATCCCTTTCGAGTCTGCAAAGTGAATCCTGCTGTACATTTAGCCAGTGTATGTTACAAGTATTTATAATGATTTGACTTATTTCATTAATGGGACATAATTGTTACGATAATGCTCTGAAATTACCTTAATTGTATTGACCTGGTAAACTAGGGAGGCAATGAAATAAATAGAAAAACCTCTTCAAGAATTGTTTCCCTCACTGGTGTTACTGTTCCTAATGCCTGCTTTCATCCAGACCTCTGCAGTAAATACAAATTTAGAGATAAGTCCAATCTTACTTTTTTTTTTTTTTTTTTTTTTTTTTTTTTTTTTTTTTTTTTTTTACTTTGAGTTGCTAATACCAACAGCAGGACTCATTTTGAGGAAAAATAGCTCTTATTTCTATTTCGTGTTATTCTTTCATCTGGCCCCTTGATAGATACTGCTGGTTAGCAGTAAATACATTTTTAGGCTATCATAAACTAATCATAAGCTAATCAAACTAATGTCGTAGTTGATAATTTTGATGTGCAATATAGTGTATCTAGCACGTTGTTAACTGTTCTTGTTCAAAAGTGTTTGGCTAACAATCAAATGAAACCGATTACTGGAGTCTGTTCTTCCTTTTTAGGTACGGGTTTGTGTCTTTCCTGGACAACGTGGATGTTCAAAAGATAGTTGAGGTAAGCTCTTTATCCAAATTACTCTCAGAAGTTGATGTGTGAAAGCTAGAGACAAGTTTATGGAAACCACATTACATACCCTGTATAGCAAGTTAGGACACAGAAAGTCTACAGCTGCTCAAAAAGTAAAACTTCCTAAAGTGTGTACTGGTGGTAAAATCTTTATGTATTTGCTTAAGTAAGAAGCAAAATTAGTGTTCAGCTAATTAGTTTTTAGCCTGGTGTGGTCAAACATCTCATGTAATTTTGTTTCTGGTTGCTCTCATTTATTTATGTGCTTGAAAGCCTTGAGTGTGTTTGGCTGCTTGCTTTTTGTAGTTGATGGCTGTCATAGAACCCTTCTGCTTATGGCAGAAATGTTGACATTTAGTTATTCGGGTGTCTTGGTTCAAGATAATTCAAGTGGGACCCTCTAAAATGAGTAATCTCTTTCAGGGTAACCAATCCCTTTCCACCAATAAGGAGAAACAACCACAATATAAGTGAAAAAAAAAATCAGTTCACTAATATAGAAGGAAATAGTAACAGGCAAAAAAAATAACAGTAATAGTTAGTAGTTACAAAATTGCTGAAATCTCCTGGGCTTCCAGGGAACTGAGAGAAACTTAAAATGGAGTGACACCTCCGCCAAAGTTGTGGCCTCTGCAGCTGACCAACCCTGTAGTTCCAAAGACAGGAGGAAAATGGTGACAGCCCTCCCCCTTCTTACCTCTTCATTGATGAATGCAGCTAGCATTCTCCAGCTTCTGGTACTTAGTCAAGGGCTAGAACTCAAGGTGGGGGGGGATTTGCTTTCCTTGGCAGCAGACAGCCAGGCAGGGCCAGGCAGCTGGGTTGGGGTGGCTTTTTCTTCACTTCTGCAGGGTTCCTTCATGGTGGTTGCAGACAGGCTGCTGTGGAATTGCCTTGAGCCAGTCCAAGATGCAAGAGAGAAATAAAAGTGGGGGGGAGAGCCCTAAAGAAGAGCCTTTGCCTTGAGCAAAGAGCATGAGGCAAGAGAGAGCGCTCTCTGTTTGCTTCAAGTTTTGAAGGGCTGAGGCACTTGCCCCGCTCTGCCCCATGGCTTTTTTCGACTCCAGGGTCTTAAGAGAAAGAGACAGTAACAATTTCGGGCACAGATAGATGAAATACAATAACATTTTGGGTTACCTGGGGCATAGGAGTAACAGTATCATGAAAGACAGTATTAGTTTTTTACTTATGTCTCCGTAGTTGAAATAGGTTTCTCTAGCAGTATTTGTGCATTTGGATGCTACCTGGAGTTGCAAGTATTTCTTAAGCCTCCTAGATTGTGCTGCAGCTGTTCCCATGTGTAGTGGGTCTAGTGCTGGCCAAATGACAGTGCAACCACTAGAATTATTTACTCATTTTCTGCTGCAAGATGACAGAACTAAAAGAAAATAAACAGAATAAGCCTTCAGACCACTTCTTCCCCCGACTATTCTTTCTTTTCCTACTGACAACAACATAAAGGCACAAATTTGGTATCTTCAGTTAAATAATAATCTTTAAAATCTTTTTTCAGTTCACTTAGGGAGAGCAGTCTCTCATACCATGCCATGGAGACTTTTCCACAAGAAACAGTTCTCTTGTGGTTTTAATTTTCTCAAATAGCAGCTGCCCAGAAGTCTACAATCATGAAGACCCTCCCACGGTTTGGTAGTCTGCCATCTCTCACCGTGGGTCATCTCAGCTTATTGGGGTGCAATTTTAAGGATAGTTCCAGTATAGAAACAAAAATTCTTTTATGTCTGGGAGCAGAGACTTTCTTCTATCCCTGGGGCAAGGTTTCTCATCTTTTTCATATCTCTGTTCAGGCCTCTCATTGGATCGCATCTACTTCAGTGTCTGCTTGCTTTAACACAGGTGCCTCTGCTCATGGCTATGGCTAGAACCCTACATCCCCCAATACATTCCATGAGTTGCAGGGGTAGGGAAAAGTCTGATTTATCAATTATATCTTCACCACAGCCTTACAAGAGAATTGCCATCTCCTCCTGTCTGGGGTTTGACTCCTTCACTGACCTTGGTGTCTCCATGTTGTTTTCTCTGCGTGTTTTCACATTTTCCTTTTTGTTCGCTCAGGAGAGGATTGATGTCTGCTATTTCAATCTGTACACTAAAAGAGTTAATGTCTCTGTTAATGACCTGTGGATGGCCTTGTGATCTCTGCTGGGCAGTGGCTGCTCTGGCTGCACGGCTGTTGTCTGCCTGCAGTTAATTGCAGCTGCGGGGCTGCAGAGCTGCCTCTGTTGTTAGCTGTGTGATTTTTTTTTTTTTTTTTTTTTTTTTTTTTTTTTTTTTTTTTATTTTCGTGGTGCCAGCAGGATGGCTCGGCTCCAGCCAGGCTGTGGTTGGAACTCGGTGGCGGCAGAATCTCAGCCGAGCCGTGCCACGGGCTGAGCTGGACACATGATGAAGTGAGCCCGGCCCAGCTAGTGTTAAGTTACTTGTTCAAACGTTGGAAGCAAGAGCTTTTCCCTGGGGTTTGTTCATTTTTAAATGTGATTTCACACAGGCATGTTCAGATTTTTTTAAATGGTCTAATTGTCAGTATTTAAAACTAGCCAGCTGATTGGTTTTGTCAGGTCCAAAGGAAGCTGCCACGGTCTTTACAGGGAATCACTTCTGTAGATGATGGATTTTTTTCCTTAACTAAAAACCAATCTATGTTAAACCATGACACTCTGTCGTCATACAGTTTTCCTGTAGCTAATGCGGGAGATGAAGGGGTAGAACTATTTCAGCCCTTCTGATCTCGGGAGTTCGGTATCAGGGAAATTTGAAATCTCAGTGCTTATAAACAAATCAGGTACTTGGTTCTGATAGAGTTGACCAGGTCACAAATCACTGACAAAGCTTTTTATTTTCCCTCTTTCCCCTGAGACTGAACACACTAACTGTAAAAATAAGATGTATTGAAATACTTCTCTTTGAAGTCTTTGCCTCAGAAAACTCCTGTGTCTCAGGAGGATGAAAAGTTTTGCTTCTGAAGCTCTTAGATAGGGAAGTAGATCAGAAAGACAAAACCAGATGGATGTGCCAGGCACAAATGTAGTGTTCTGTGATGTGCAGATGTGTTTACTGGCCATCCAGCTCCATAAGTGGGAAGAGAACATGTTTGAATGAAGTGGAAGGTTGTGAAACCCCAGCAGGAGATCCTTGATTCTCACCAAAAGATTTTAAAAGCTTGCTGTTACTTGACGGTATGATGACAAAAATATACAGTGACTGCTGTACTGAGCAACACTTCATCTGAGAATGCCTTTTTCTTTTTACTATGGATTACATTTATTGTTCTACATCACTGTGGAATGCTTGATCTAACAATTTCTACAGAGACCTCTTAAGTAGCATTGATATTTGAGTCATGTAAATTGCTGATTTTCTATGTATGCTTCTTCAAAACTGGAGCCGGCTATGTTCCTGCTATGTTCCTCTATTAATATAGTACTCACTGATGTGAGTTTGTATACCAGAGGTCTTGGAAGACCCAGAGACATATGGTGGATTTTCTTTTCAGTGCACATTTCAGGTCTGCAGGCAGTATAGGTTCCTGCCATGCCAGGAAGAAGCAGGTACAGCTATAAATCTTAAAAAACCTGTTGGCTTTTGGAGGGGATGGAGAAAGGAAGAGAAAGGAAGAAATTAACATGGGTGTTGTACAGCTCAAATTATAAGCAGAGGTTACTGCACTAAATGACTTCAGGCCTTATCTGCACTGAGTGGTCAGTGTTTTCTGTAAATGAACATGATAGAGCCTCTCTGTGGCTGAAATTACTCTTGGTGCCTGTGTTCATCTGCCTGTTCAACAAGGCTGTGTAGGTGTGTTCAGCCTGACAGTGTTTTTCTTCTGCTTTAGGTCTGTAACTGTACTCTGGTCCAGCATAAATCTGTTTACAGTTCAGAGCAGGAAGTTCTCTTGTGTTTAGAGGGGAGGCCTGTTTCCCAGGAGTTCTCACTGTTGAGGTGGAAAAGGTAGTTGGATGATTTTGGGCACAACAGGATTCCAGAATTAATTTTAAAATGCCCAAAGTCAACCAACTAAGATGCCTTCTCCTGGAAAAAAAAAAACACATCCATCTGTCGAACTAGTCAGGTTATTGCACCTTTTTTCCACCCCCATGTATCTCTCGAATCATCTTCTTGTAGCTAATAGAAATTAGTATGAGCAAGATTTTTATTTATCATTATATTTATGCTTACTTTTACAACAATAGAGTTGCTGTTGTCCATTCAAAGCACTTCCTTTAGCAGAAATGGGAGAAAATTGCAAAACCACCTACTTTCTTCTGAAGGAGGAGGTACTTCTGTGGAGTTGCATGTGATGGATGCAGACAGTCTGTCTAGATTCTCTAATACTGACTTTAATGCTTGGTACTAAAATTGTGCTAATAAGGCTAAACCAAAAATCTTTCAGTAGAAACCTGAGACTGTGGTTACTCTCCAATGCTCTATTTTTAGACAGGAATAGTTAAAACCCCTGCGTATAAAAACCGCGGGGCTGGTGGTCACCGATACATAGTTGCAACTTCGAGTAGTGCATGTTGCTATTAGGGTAAGTGATACATCATTTTGGAGGGGCGGTGAGTAGGCAGATAGCTGAGCTGAGGACTCTGCAGGAAATGAGGTAAAAGGCGTATGGTGTTCAGAGAGGAGACTGAAGGCTGTTGAGCCTTTGTGACAGTTGATGTACTATGGTGTAGAAGTAGAGTCCAGTCTCTTTAAAATCCTACAGACCTCTCACCTTGCTGATTCTCAGCTTACAGAGTATAACCTGTCTTTCAGTCACAAATCAACTTCCATGGTAAAAAGCTGAAACTGGGGCCAGCAATCAGAAAACAACAAAACTTAAGTAAGTATATCTAAATAAATTTGTTCATATTGCAGGTGTTATAGCTTTTTTCTTAATTATACATCATTATTCTTGCAAATACTTTTTATCTTGTGGAGTATTTATATTTCAGTTAAACCTTGGTTCTGATTTCTATGACTTTGTTTGTATTATGTTTTCTTAATAAGAGTGAGGTTGGTAGCAAAATACAATATAGTTAATATTGAGTTAAATTTAAGAGTCAAAATCTTTAAGTTTTTTTTCAACTTGAATTCAGATTCCTGATGAAATACATGTAGTAATGTCTTAATACTATTTATCTGTTTCAAAACAAGATTCCTCTGTGCAGCCCAGACAATTAGTTCTTGGTCCTCCTGCACCACAGTTCCAGAGTGTATGGAGTAGTCAGACTGTGGAGACGTATGTGCAGCCTCCAGCTGTCGTGAACCCAGTAACACCCTATGTTCAGGTAAGACTGCTCCTAACACTGATTTTGAATCATAATTAAGTATTTTTTGAAGGTTCAAGCATGTACGACTTTTGGAGTATGTCTTGAGATTCCAATCTGATCTTACCTGCCTATTTTCTTATTGACTTCTCCAGCAAGAAGCACCCAACTTCAAAGCACTTCAGATGAATGCCATCAACCTTGAAAAACTGATTCAGTGATGTTAACTGATTATAAGACAAGAGGGAGATAATCTTTCCTCCAGTTTCAACAGTTCTCATTCTTAAAGGCTGAGTTACTCTTGCCTGTCACAGATGTAGTTCACAAATGAAATGTGTCCAGATATTTAATGTGTTGCTGTCCTGCTTCAGAATAAACTACAACATTTAAAATGTATTTTTGTAAACTACAAGTGGGATCAGAAGTTATCTGAGGTACTTTTCTCTCCTCCTAGCCAAACATATTGTAGGTTTTAAACTGCTGTTGTGTTATAAGAACACTGTGTTACAGCATCTGCTGTTAATAGCTGTGCCCAGCACAGCAGTGCCTGCAGGACATCACTGTACTGGCACGTCAGATGAGCACTCCTACTGAAGCGTGAGTACAGTACTTCTGGCCTGGATATGAGTCTTGTGCTGTGAGTGAAGCAGATCAGACTCTCCTACTGCTTTAGCCTGTATGATGGAGCAGTACTGACTACAAACTGATCCTGTTTTGTATATCTTAAGCAAAGAGAAAGAACAAACTTCCAGAAATACTTTCTTGCAAGGCAGAGAGCTTAATACTAGTATTCTTGCTGATTCTCTTAAGTTGATTAATTAAAGAGAATTAATTCTCTTAAATGTTGGAATGTGCCTTTAACTATTCTCTGAAGAATCTGAGAAGGTTCCAGGTTAACACTGTCAGAGTACTTACAGGAAAGAAATACTAGGAAATTTATTGGAGTCATCCTTTGCCTCCTAGAAACTGATTCTTCAGACTGCACTCCGTTATTCCATAGTAGTCAGTCTGCTTCAGATCTACTTCCCAAAGTTTATGGCATGACTTGCATTTCTGAAATTACTTCCAAGATCAGTTACAAGCAGCTGGGGGATTTTTACATATATAAGACACTTGCAATCTTACTTTGGAGACTTCATTAGTGCCTGAAGTGCTGAAGCAAGCCCCGTGGGAAGTCTAAGGGCTGCTTTTAAATACTGAGCCTAGTCTGCGCAGGAATTGAAGTAACAGTGTAACTTCTAAAAATGTACTTCTGGCTAATACCTCTACAAATATCATACTTGTATCTTGCTTCAAACTTGCATTTAAAAAAACAACTTTATTTGCAGCCTTATCCGTACAATTCATCACCAGCTGTACTGGTAAAGCCGCAAGTTCCTGTAGGGTATCAACCAGCTTACAACTATCAGGTATGTAAAGTTTTAGTAGAAGCAGAAAGGCTGTTGGATGCCTGACAAAACTGGAATGAAGTGTTAACTGCAGTCTGACCTTTCTGTGCTTATTCTTTGAAATCTATTTTCCTTCAGTTCTTCACAGCTACAAAGCAAAAACAAAATAGTGATGAAAACTGTTGAGTAACTTAGCATACTCTTTTTCTAGTTTCATTTTTTCCTTAAATATACAGTGATAAAACAATTTTCAAATTAGAAAAAAGTACATGAATTTGTACTTGTGGGAGGAAGCTTTGCATTTGTACATGCTGTAGTGTGGGGTGTTAGGTGCTTAGAGTCTTATAGATCAAATATTGTATTATCTGATATAGAGGGGGCATGTGCTCTTGCACTATAAAAACATCAGAGGAGGTGCTTAGGTCATAGTGGGGTTTGAACTCACAAATGAAGTGTGTGGCTAAGTCCTGTTAATGACACTAAACTGGGAGTAACCAGGAGCAGCTAGAGGCTTGAGATTTGTTTTCAATGTAGATATTTTGGTTTCCCATATTTTCCTAACATTTAGCATTTTTTTTAAACTTAGAGTGAGAAGGAGATACCTTGTTTTATGAAGCTATCTTGCTGGACATAAGATCATGTATTAACTAACTGTTTTGTGAAAAATCAAGACATTAAATGCTATAAACAGTGGTTCCTACAGAGCAGTTACTTTTCTGTGTTGGAAATAAATGAATAAAAGGTGGTTCTTGTCCAATTTTTGTTTAAGGCTCAACCACAGTGGCTTCCTGGGGAGCCAAGAAATTACGTAATGCCTCCTCCAACTCCGGTAAGTCTACAAAGTAAGACTTCTGAAACTGTCTTCTTAATTAGCACATTGTTTTTACTGCTTGATACTTAAAAAAAGAAGTTTGTTGTCTGGATATGTGTAATCTGGTCTACAAAAATCTGTAATTGCTGATGAGAGATTGTAGTTCAGAATTTCTGTATTGATAGTATGTTTTTCTTGTTACCTGGTGCAACAGGTCTACCTGTTTTTTGTCATTCTACATGTTATGGTCACAGAACTCTGGAATTTTAACCAAACTGGAGTTGGTTTTTCAGGAAAAGTTGAAGGAAAAATAAGTTGACCTGATGTACAAAGTCTTCATGTTCTTTGCAAATACTGATGAATTGTTTAGCTCCTTTCAACAGGTTTAAAAAATTTTCCCAGGCTGCTACTGTAGGTGGTGCTGTTAGCCTTTAAAAAAAATCCGTGTTTTCTGTGACTTAATGCAAGTAACATCCATGTGAAAGGGGAAAAATTACTCTGTATTTGTTTAAATGTTGGAATTTAAACTTGCCCCTTGGGCATTTTTGTATTCTTCAGGTGTTTCTTGACTGCAGTTTTGATTAAGTGTTTCAAAGCTGTAATATATAATTTTATTCTGAATGGTATTCTTTTTCTGAAAGCTATCAGAAGTCATCAAAATACTGATTACACTATTGGCTTGAAATAATTTTGTAATAACATCTATGAATGTAATACAGTCATAGTGTATCATTTTACAATTCAGTGGTAGCAGGTCAGAATGTTCTAAGGGTAGGTGTGCATGGGGGTTTCACTGTTAAATGTTACAAGCTTGATTATAGGAGCAGACAAGTGTTCTAGATCTATCTCAGTTAAGCAACTTAAAATATCATTCTTAACTGTCTTAATAAAGCAGGTCATGACAGAGTATTTCCCCCATTCATAAAACTTATCAAAACTGTGAAGATAAAGTTGGCACAGTTTAGGGATCAATAAGGATCAGTGACACCACAACTGTGCATGTTTTCCCAGTGTTACTGAAACATTGTTATACCTAAAAACTCTTACAGATGTATACTTCAGTGAACTGTCATGGCACTGAGGATCCAGGACTTCTGCAGTTGGAATGTGCTGTTCCAGAGCCTACGCAGTTGCCTAGCAGCCCGCAAAAAGTAGGTGCTTTCTCAAAGCTTTAATGTTCTTTATCATAAATGCTATTCCCAGAAATCTGCACGCAAGGGTTAGTAGCATTGTCAAGGGTGCCTCAGACAAGATATCCTAGAAATCAAGGTTATAGTTGCTACTTTCAGCCTGTTAAGTGCTATGTATTTGATTTCTGTGTACAACTCCAGAAGTCTCGTGTTTCCATGAAACTGTTAGTGCTTATTTGCAGTACTGAGGGCTCGATAAAGTATGTATTCTACTTGATTAAGTCTACTGACAAGACTTTGCCTAATCTGTGAAAATTTCCAGGGAAAATTACAGGTAATAAAAGAGCAGATTTGATAGCATTGCCTACTGTCTTAGATTTAAGTTTCAAATGTCTGAGTTGGTAACTTTCTCCCTTTCTCAGTGTTTTGTGGAAGGTGACCCCAGTTTAGCCAACAGTTAGCTCTGAATTCAGTTTCCTAAGGGAGAAATTTCATTTCACAGCGGTCAGCTTAATCCACGAGAGAACTGGCATGTCGCTGATTAGAATTTCTTCCCTGTAACACTGAAGGGGGATAATGAGTTACTAATAGTAAAAGATCGGGGGGAGAAACAAGTTAAATATCTTGGGGAACACAAGGCAGTTGAGGAATTCTGATTGCCAAGTAAACCCTGTGATACACTGGCATCGCTAGCTAGTAATGTCCTAAGAAAATCAGTATTGATGCACCTATAATTGTATTTCAGAAGTCTGTGGACAGGGGCATGCAAACAGTATTATCCTGTCTGTCTAATCCTGAGAACCAGCTGACAAATGACTTTGTAGCACAAGAAAACAATGTGAAGGTACGTAGTGAAAGCAAAATTATATCCCTGAAACATAGCTGACCTTCAATGTGTTCACCTACAAGATACCATAAAGATGAAGGGATTCATACCTGTGAATGCCATTTGAATTTTTTATTCCTTGTACGTGCTCTGAGATGGGTGGGTTTGCCTCTCAGTTGCTTAATGGTGGAAAGAAGTGCTGAAATTGGGTTCGGTGGGTTTTATGAGGACAGCATAAAAATTTGCTGAACAGTCAACTAATGAACAATTAGAGCATAAGTCTGTCTAGTCATTTCTCAGTGACATGGCTGAAAGCAGCAGATTACTCCCGAGTTTGGGCAGAGGATGTTGAGTTTAAACCTTGATAGTGTGTACGGTGAAGTAGCTACTGTGGATGGTGGCTAGTTATACTTTGTCTCTGCTTTAACCAATAAATCCTAGTCCAGGTTGGTAGCTGATTGTCATTTTTTTGGTGTATGTGTTCAGTCCTTGTAGATTTGCAATTTCGATTACATTCCAAGTCACATGTAATTTCAGGTTACTAATTTCTAAGACCATGATTCCTTTTTGTAAAATAACAGATGCTTGAACTAGACAAGTGTACTGTGAAACAGGAATGCAGAAGTAGTGCTCTCTTAGTTTTGCAGAGGGATGAATAGAGTACAGGGTGTCTGGAGATAGTTTTGATGAAACTTTGGTTGCTTTATTCTGATTAAAATTAATCAGAATTTATTTTTAATAATTATTTTTTTCTTGTCCTTTCTTCTATCCCATCCTAGGAGAGTAAGACATACCACTTCAGAAAAGGAAAGACAGTACACAAAAGTGTTTGATCAACAAAGACTTACTTCAAAGCATCTAAATTAATTTACTCGATGGTACAACAGGTCAATTTAACAACACGGAGTGTAACATCTCCCAGAGTTACTTCAAGTTATGTTTGTGCTTATGTTCTACCTGTTTTGATACTGTTGTTGTTGCTTGACTGGTTTGGAGTTCCAAGTTGTAAGAGTTGACAAACTTCAGTGTTACTGTTTCTGTGCTTCCCTTGAAAACTGACTGGAATGTTAAGAGTTTATATGTTTGCTGTATGGATTTTTCTCTGAGCTTTAAGGTACAGATTGCATATTACACATGGTTTTTCATTAACTCACATTCACCAGTTAACTCCTGCAGTTTAAAAATTGAAGTAGTTATTTGCCCAAGAGAATTTTAAGACTGAGCTTAAATCAGTGCCAAGAAGATGAGAAGTCTTAACTGAGCTGAAGCCCTGTAAGTCCTAGTTGCATTTAGACAACATAATCAGTGTGATTATGTTCATTGATGACAGTCTATGTACTTGCAGTCTTGAGCATAACTACTATTTTTGGGTAAGTAATGAAGAGAATCCTAAAATTCCTGTACACAACTTAAAATGCAAGAATGTTATCTGTATTGGACACTAAGCCAGCCAATACAAGATTTTTTTTACTTGAAAAATCTTAGCAATACCTGTATTTTAAACTTCTGAGAAAATACTGCACTTACATAAACCTTTGTTATGTGATGCAAACTGTTAATCAAAGGATATCTGTATGACTGTTTTAATAATCATGTAGATTTTAGGTATGTATTGTGAAAGAGTGAAATAAATTTTTATTTTGCCTTGGTTTCCTAAATTTCTGGTGTGACAAATCTAAATAATAACTTATTTTCTACTCTAAATGACATTTCCAGTTACTATAAATCTAGAGTAACAAACCTTCATTTTGTGTAGATACTAGCTGAAGTTTCAAAAGAGTAGAACTGAGAAAGGAGAACAATCTTGTATGTTGAGGGACTACATGTTCTGCTTGAAGTTTCCAGAAGACTTAGAGATAGTAATGGCTAGGCAGAGACTTAGCCAATAATACCTGTTTAATGAATTATCCAGAAGGGAACTGGATATGTAAGGGAATATGACTAGAGCAAATATTCAAGGACTGCTTCTCAGGAGTGTTTTGGATAAAACTTTATTAAGGGAGGGTGGGGGAGAATAATGATAAATTCTTTTGGAGCCACTTTATGCAGCTTTGTACCAATGTTCTGATAGCATAAATTAACCTGGAAAAAAAGCAAAGCTCATACCAGTTTCTCTCTTCACTGTTTCATATTACTAAAGATAGTGTTGAGTGTTCCCATGATACTGTTTTGCCATATTTTCCTCTGACTGCTGTTTTAAAGATAATGGCTTGATTGTGCATAACTTCTGTGTTAGTTTTTGCAAGGGTTTTTCTAGTATTGAATCAGGACCCTGTCCTTTCCAATTTTCAGTATCTAAACAGCCTGCATGTACTTTCAAAGCTGTGATGTCAGTTTATTGATAACAGGTAGTTGTTTCTTTGCAAATGCACGGTTTTTTGGGCTTGATTTAAGTTGACTTGGTTGTCCCAGGCCTTACCTGAGGTTTTCTGCTGTAGCTCTAAGAAAATACAAAAGGCCCTATGCATAGCTGTCTCCTCAAAACACCACCACCACCAAAAGAAGAGATTTAACAAGATGCCTACACAGTGCATGTTTTCTTTTTGACTGAGTGTTATGCACAGGGACCATCTGGTGAGTAAGTTAATTGTATAGTGCATCTGAAATCGTTGTACTAGATTCTTAGAGGCTTGCTGAGAGGTTTTATCACAGGGGAACAGCCAAGGCCTTATGAGTGCCATTTATTTTTTCTTCCATTAGATCATGTCATGCTGGTTCTGCTAGCTGCTTAGCTGTAGAGAATGGATTTATTTTCTTTAGTTATAACTAAACACATGCATTTTTAATATTCTTTTGAAGTACCCTATAACACATAACGTAAAGCATAACACAAAACCAATATGCAAATCTTTCCTGTTGCATTCAGAAAGTTGAAATACCTGTTTAATATTGCTGTGACCGAAGGCATTTCCAAAATCAGTGCATGGTTGGAGCATTTTGCAAACCTGTACCCTTGTCTTCTCAAATCAAGTGGACCATGTTAACTCTCAACAAACAGGCAGTAGTGAGTCCTTGTGCATCTGCATTTGCTTGCACACAGTATGTACATTCTGTGAGAGACTCAAAAGCTTTGGGTGTACTTTAAATATTAAGACAGCTCTTTTTCAAAAGAAACAATTGCTTAGACAAAATAGAAAAAAAAAATCCAGTGCTTGCATTTAATTGGTATTCTAGAGCTGTGACACTTGGTTTGTTTTACTTCTTGCCTGAAGTACCCCAGTTTGCTGTTTGATGGCCTTTTCATATCTCTTTACACACTTTGCCACCTGACAGAATTATTCTTGGAATGAGACAGCCAGACAGATGGTATTCTTGGATCTCCATTAGAATGATTGTCTGGCACAGACACTAATTCCCTGTCAAAATGGAAATATTTTTTTCCTTTTAGGTATTTGTGTACTAAACTATCTTAATCTGAAGGTGATGTGATCCTTTATTGCTACGGAGAAACAAAAGGGCTTTCCCTTTAATATTTCATAGGGCTTTCCTTTGGATGCCTTACTGAAAGAGATTTTTTAAGTCCTCTAACAGGTCTACACTCTATATTCCTTGCAGGAATGACTTTCTAGACCACTATTTTAGACAAAATGTATAAGAGTTTTAATGTTTGCTACTTTCAATGTTGCTAAGAAAGTTTAAAAAAAGTGATCCCAAGCTATTTAAAAAATTGAGGTTTCTTCAGATAGAATGTGTCTCAAAAGTCCTTAAGTAGCTTCACAACCCAGATTCTTACTTCCTACTTGATCATTTCTACTCTAAAATTTGGGCTGATCCTTAGAAGACATTGTAACTGCTTTTAAAGAAAAAGGCCCCAGCTGAGTTTAAAAACGCCTTTGTATTGTCCTAGTGACTGTTCAAACTTCAACTTCGGTGAATAAAGATAAAGGGTTTGTTTGTTTGTGTGTGGGGATTTTGTTTGGTGAGGGATTTTTGTTTTGTTCTCTGGGTATTTGTGGGTTTTTTTCTAAGTAGTGTGAACTTCAGTGTAGCTGTGTAGTGGGTGTTTAAGACAAACATGAAAAAGGGCTTTCTACTCATTTACCTTAAGGTTGTGAGACTGTAGAAAGTACAGAAATGAGGGTAGGATTTATATTTAAAAACAGTTTGCTGTAGAATATTTATGCTGCTAGTCCAAAAGCAATTACTATATGGATAGTTTTTCTGATTTTAATTATCTCAAAATTTCTAAATACGTAGTCAAATAAAGATGCTGTAATTAACATATTGCTGATGTAGTGGGATATTAGAAGACAGTACTGATGTGTCAGCAGTACCTCTTCTAGGGGTGTGTGTATCATGGCCTTTTAGCTTCTGTTTACCTTTTCCTGTAAGTAGGTGTCCAAATTTCAGTGTATTGTTTGAACTACTTGGTGTTTATACTAGATGACCTTTAGTGATCTTTTCTAACCCAAACTGTTCTGTGATTCTCAAGGAGTCTGCTTTCCCCTACCCCATTCAGGATCACTCTGGATTTAACTTCTTTAGGCTGTCTTTAATTTAGAAGAATAATAATTTGCTGTGTGGTGCCTTTTTTGTCTAGAACAAACCTAACCAAATCTCTTCCCCATTAGTTTGTGCTTGTTCCTCTATGAATGAGTGTTCAAGAAATTTTTAAACTACTTGTAAAGTCTTCCTAGAACAATTTAGGATTAAACCCGCCAATTTAAATAGAGATTGTCTTTTTTTCCTGGGAAAGAACTTGTGCTTAGAACTGCAAGTTGATTTGTGGTTCATTCCATAGGATGGCTTGGGTTGGAAGGGACCTCTAAAGGTCATCTAGTGAACCCCCCCACAATGAGCAGGGATATATTCAACTAGATGAAATAATTCAAAGCCCTCTCCACTCTGACCTTAAGTATTTGCAGGGATGGGACATCACCACTCCTGGGCAACTTGTTCTGGTGTCTCACAGACCTCATGGAAGAAAATGTCTTTGTTCTGTCTGGTATGAATCTGCTGTCTTAAAGCCATTACTCCTATCACAACTCACCCTACTAGGAATGTCTCAATCTTTTTTACGGGTTCCCTTTAGTATCAGAAGGCCCCAGTAATGTCTCCCTGGAGCCTTTTCCTCTCTGGGGTGAGCAATCCTAGAATGCTCTGCCTGTCTTCATAGGAGAGGTGGTTCAGCCCTCTGATTTTTATTGCCCTTTTCTGGACCTGCTCCAACAGGTCCATGTCTTTCCTGTGCAGAGTACTCCAGGTGGGATTTTACCAGAGTGGCAGAATTGCCTCCCTTGGGGGGAAAGGGATGCAAACAACCCAGTGTTTTGGCCTGTAGCAGTTAATAGAGTTATGTGCTGCTGAGTTGTGCAGCCATCCAATTCCTTAGCATAAGCTGATTTTATTATTTCTGAGTGTAAGGAAGTAGTTAAATTATTAAAATGGAAATAGTGGTGCCTGTATATCACAGAGATAAATAATGCCTTTTATAAGACATGTAAAGAGGATCCTACATATGAGTGGTGAAGTAATCATGTAGAAATGTGTTCTGAGCACACACACTTGAATTTCTAGCTTTTATGAGTACACGGGGAGATGGAATAGAATATGAATTGGTCAGAGGCCATGTACTAAACCTGAATCATTTAGGTTGTAAAGGATGTTTGAGATAGGTTAACAGACTGAACTCTAACACTGCTGCGACCAACAAGTCTCCTCAAGTGCCACATCTCAGTACCTCTAGGAACAGTGACTGCAACACTCTTTTGGGGAGCCTGCTCCAACAGCTCTTTTTTGTGAAGAAATTCTTCTGAATATCAAAGCTTAACCTCCCTTGGCAAAATTAGGCCCATTCCTTCTTATTTGGTAACAGCTTACTCGATAGAAGAGA